ACCCGTGAGCCTAAGTTAGTGGAGTGAAATCACTGGGATGCGTGAATAAGTTCATATTCTTTATTTTTAAAGATTCTATGCTGACAGCCGCTGAGATCGCGAGCTGGACGCCGTCTGATGGCCAGTGGGGATCCTTCCATCGGCCAATCAACTGTCTACAGCTCCTACTGGAAATCAGTCTATCCTTATGTGGACAATGACTTTATTAAATAACATTTAGATATTGACAGCATAAAAACCTTTTCAGTCTGAGATTTACCACGCTTTCACAACAGAAGAAAATAACCATGAAAATTACTTTTTAGTGGCTTTTTAAATCATTCAAACTGTTAAAAAGTAACTCTGACCAAAAACAAGTTGATCAACAAAAAATAAAGGCCAAACTTCTTAAACTTAGAGATTTATTTCTAGCAGACCAGTGTTAAAGGAAGAACCACATGAATATGATCCGACTACCGCCACCTGCTGGACTGAAGGTGCAGTGGCATTTCTCTCAGGCTTTATGTCTCTGGGCTTCCAGAGTGATGGGAGAGCAACTGATAAAATTACCCAGAATTCTTGTTAACTGGGGCTTTCAGTAGAAGATGAGCTTTTGTTTCCTTCAAACAGTTTAAGTTGCTTCAGATGAGTTCAGGCGACGGATGAAGATGAATGTTTGATAAAAGTTGTAGAGTATGAGGTGGATTCCATTTACAGCATCTATGGACGTAGTGAGAGCTTTCAGCTTCACGGTCATGCCTGCTTTAATGGGACTGGGTCACTAAAATATTCTTCCGTAAGGGGGTTTGAGGAATGAAATGTAATCAGAGAATAAAGAGCCTCTACAGAGCCGCAGCGTTTGGTATGTTTACACGTCCTAGTTGGTGCTTATAACAGACTGAAGTCATCTCCCTGAAGAATGCGTAGAGAAAACCCAGCTGGACTTCACCCATCTGCTCAGAAGCATGGCTGGTTCTGAAGAGCAGAACTGAGGATGTGAACAGGGAGCGATGCATCCTGGACTACAGTGTAAGGGCTGCTTGTGTCGCAGTCAACGCAGATAAGCCCCACCCCCTAAAGCCTTCAGATTAACTCCTAACCCCTCAGATTAACCCCTAAACCCCTCAGATTAACTCCTAAACCCCTCAGATTAAGTCCTAACCCACTCAGATTAGCCCCTAAACCCCTCAGATTAACCACTAAACCCCTCAGATTAACTCCTAAACCCCTCAGATGAACCCCTAAACCCCTCAGATTAACTCCTAACCCCCTCAGAGTAACCTCTAAACCCCTCAGATTAACTCATAACCCCTCAGATTAACTCCTAACCCCTCAGATTAACTCCTAACCCCTCAGATTAACTTCTAACCCCTCAGATTAACTCCTAAACCCCTCAGATTAACTCCTAAACCCCTCAGAGTAACCTCTAAACCCCTCAGATTAACTCCTAACCCCTCAGATTAACTCCTCACCCCTCAGATTAACCCCTAAACCCCTCAGATTAACTCCTTACCCCTCAGATTAACCCCTAAACCCCTCAAATTAACTCCTTACCACTCAGATTAACTCCTTACCCCTCAGATTAACCCCTAAACCCCTCAGATTAACTCCTTACCCCTCAGATTAACCCCTAAACCCCTCAGATTAACTCCTTACCCCTCAGATTAACTCCTTACCCCTCAGATTAACCCCTAAACCCCTCAGATTAAGTCCTAACCCCCTCAGATTAGCCCCTAAACCCCTCAGATTAACCACTAAACCCCTCAGATTAACTCCTAACCCCTCAGATTAACTTCTAAATCCCAGATTAACTCCTAACCCCTCAGATTAAATCCTAAACCCCTCAGATGAACCCCTAAACCCCTCAGATTAACTCCTAACCCCCTCAGAGTAACCTCTAAACCCCTCAGATTAACTCCTAACCCCTCAGATTAACTCCTCACCCCTCAGATTAACCCCTAAACCCCTCAGATTAACTCCTTACCCCGCAGATTAACCCCTAAACCCCTCAGATTAACTCCTTACCCCTCAGATTAACCTCTAAACCCATCAGATTAACTCCCAAACCCCTCAGATTAACTCCTAAAACCCTCAGATTAACCCCTAAACCCCTCAGATTAACTCCTAAAACCCTCAGATTAACTCCTAACCCCCTCAGATTAACCCCTAAACCCCTCAGATTAACCCGTAACCCCTCAGATTAACTCCTAAAACCCTCAGATTAACTTCTAAATCCCAGATTAACCCCTAAACCCCTCAGATTAACCCCTAAACCCCTCAGATTAAGTCCTAACCCCCTCAGATTAGCCCCTAAACCCCTCAGATTAACTCCTACCCCCTCAAATTAACTTCTAAATCCCAGATTAACTCCTAACCCCTCAGATTAACTCCTAAACCCCTCAGATGAACCCCTAAACCCCTCAGATTAACTCCTAACCCCTCAGATTAACCTCTAAACCCATCAGATTAACTCCCAAACCCCTCAGATTAACTCCTAAAACCCTCAGATTAACCCCTAAACCCCTCAGATTAACTCCTAAAACCCTCAGATTAACTCCTAACCCCCTCAGATTAATCCCTAAACCCCTCAAATTAACCCGTAACCCCTCAGATTAACTCCTAAAACCCTCAGATTAACTTCTAAATCCCAGATTAACCCCTAAACCCCTCAGATTAACCCCTAAACCCCTCAGATTAAGTCCTAACCCCCTCAGATTAGCCCCTAAACCCCTCAGATTAACTCCTACCCCCTCAAATTAACTTCTAAATCCCAGATTAACTCCTAACCCCTCAGATTAACTCCTAAACCCCTCAGATGAACCCCTAAACCCCTCAGATTAACTCCTAACCCCCTCAGAGTAACCTCTAAACCCCTCAGATTAACTCCTAACCCCTCAGATTAACTCCTCACCCCTCAGATTAACCCCTAAACCCCTCAGATTAACTCTTTACCCCTCAGATTAACCCCTAAACCCCTCAGATTAACTCCTTACCCCTCAGATTAACTCCTTACCCCTCAGATTAACTCCTTACCCCTCAGATTAACCCCTAAACCCATCAGATTAACTCCCAAACCCCTCAGATTAACTCCTAAAACCCTCAGATTAACCCCTAAACCCCTCAGATTAACTCCTAAAACCCTCAGATTAACTTCTAAATCCCAGATTAACCCCTAAACCCCTCAGATTAACCCGTAACCCCTCAGATTAACTCCTAAAACCCTCAGATTAACTTCCAAATCCCAGATTAACCCCTAAACCCATCAGATTAACTCCTTACCCCTCAGATTAACCCCTAAACCCCTCAGATTAACTCCTTACCCCTCAGATTAACTCCTTACCCCTCAGATTAACCCCTAAACCCCTCAGATTAACTCCTTACCCCTCAGATTAACCCCTAAACCCCTCAGATTAACCCCTAAACCCCTCACATTAAGTCCTAAACCCATCAGATTAACTCCTAAACCCCTCAGATTAACCCCTAAACCCCTCAGATTAACCCGTAACCCCTCAGATTAACTCTTTACCCCTCAGATTAACCCCTAAACCCCTCAGATTAACTCCTTACCCCTCAGATTAACCCCTAAACCCCTCAGATTAACTCCTTACCCCTCAGGTTAACTCCTTACCCCTCAGATTAACCCCTAAACCCCTCAGATTAACTCCTTACCCCTCAGATTAACCCCTAAACCCCTCAGATTAACCCCTAAACCCCTCACATTAAGTCCTAACCCCCTCAGATTAGCCCCTAAACCCCTCAGATTAGCCCCTAAACCCCTCAGATTAACTCCTAACCCCTCAGATTAACTTCTAAATCCCAGATTAACTCCTAACCCCTCAGATTAACTCCTAAACCCCTCAGATTAACCCCTAAACCCCTCAGATTAACTCCTACACCCCTCAGATTAAGTCCTAACCCCCTCAGATTAGCCCCTAAACCCCTCAGATTAACCACTAAACCCCTCAGATTAACTCCTAACCCCTCAGATTAACTTCTAAATCCCAGATTAACTCCTAACCCCTCAGATTAACTCCTAAACCCCTCAGATGAACCCCTAAACCCCTCAGATTAACTCCTAACCCCCTCAGAGTAACCCCTAAACCCCTCAGATTAACTCCTTACCCCTCAGATTAACCCCTAAACCCCTCAGATTAACTCATAACCCCTCAGATTAGCCCCTAAACCCCTCAGAGTAACCCCTAAACCCCTCAGATTAACTCCTTACCCCCAGATTAGCCCCTAAACCCCTCAGATTAACCACTAAACCCCTCAGATTAACTCCTAACCACTCAGATTAACTTCTAAATCCCAGATTAACTCCTAACCCCTCAGATTAACTCCTAACCCCCTCAGAGTAACCCCTAAACCCCTCAGATTAACTCCTTACCCCTCAAATTAACCCCTAAACCCCTCAGATTAACTCCTTACCCCCAGATTAGCCCCTAAACCCCTCAGATTAACAACTAAACCCCTCAGATTAATTCCTAACCACTCAGATTAACTTCTAAATCCCGGATTAACTCCTAACCCCTCAGATTAACTCCTAACCCCCTCAGAGTAACCCCTAAACCCCTCAGATTAACTCCTTACCCCTCAAATTAACCCCTAAACCCCTCAGATTAACCCTCAAACTGTGTCACAGATACAGCCTGACAACAGTCTGGCTGTTGTCAGTCCCCCCCCCCCCCCCCCCCCAGCTGGGGGCCAGGGGTCCGCCTCATCAGGGCTTCCCGTCTATCAACCTCATTCCACAGCCGGAGCGTAGAGCTCGTCCTGTGAGCGCAAAGGAGGATGTTGTCAGAGCTGCCGTTGTTCCAGGCTAGATCTACAGACATAGATTCTCTCTTAGCTTCTCAGCTGCTCCATCCACCATCAGACACCGAGCATCATGCATGCAGGAACCGCGGCTCTGCTCCTCTAAACCCCGCCTGACATGTTGGATCCGCTCCTCCATGTTAGCCTGCAGCGCGAGGAGGAGCAGCGATCAGCGGCCGCTTACCTTCCAGGAGGAATCAGCTCACCTGGACGCCTCTGGAGAACAGAGAGGAAGCATTCAGGCCACCGCTGTCCCTGCAAGCCGCTCCAAACACCTCCCTCCTCTTCCTCCTCCCTCTACAGGCCGCAAAACCGGGCTGTACCAACGCAGGGCGGGGGAGAGGGGGGCATCAGAGCAGGGCTGTTTGGCTGAGAGCCGGGGAGCTGCAGCTGCTCAGGGAGGGGGGAGATGAGAAGCCCCTGGAGCCCAGAGCCCCCCCCCCCCCCGCTCTGCTCTGAAATGGTCCAACCCAGAGGAGAAGGAAGCTGAGCCAGGAGCTGAGCTCCTCCCCTCAGCATTACTGCCATGTCTTATGATTCAGAAACAGGTGGGGGACGGTCCTGCTGTCAAACTTTCTACCTAAACTATAGCTCTAATTGGACCAGTTATCACCAAATGACACAACATGTGATTTTTCTGACTTTACCAGAAAATATTCCTCCATGAAACCATCAGATGGACAAAATAAACCAGTTAAAAGGATTTCAGACTGGATTTAATCAGACAGAAGCTCTGAGATCAACAAGGCCTCCATGCTGAGGAAGAGGAGGAGGATGGACACTGATGAAGAGGAGGATGGGCCTCCATGCTGAGGAAGAGGAGGAGGATGGACGCTGAGGAAGAGGAGGATGGACCTCCATGCTGAGGAAGAGGAGGAGGATGGACGCTGAGGAAGAGGAGGATGGACCTCCATGCTGAGGAAGAGGAGGAGGATGGACCTCCATGCTGAGGAAGAGGAGGAGGATGGATGCGGAGGAAGAGGAGGAGGATGGACCTCCATGCTGAGGAAGAGGAGGATGGACCTCCATGCTGAGGAAGAGGAGGAGGATGGACCTCCAGGCTGAGGAAGAGGAGGAGGATGGATGCGGAGGAAGAGGAGGAGGATGGACCTCCATGCTGAGGAAGAGGAGGAGGATGGACCTCCATGCTGAGGAAGAGGAGGAGGATGGATGCGGAGGAAGAGGAGGAGGATGGACCTCCATGCTGAGGAAGAGGAGGATGGACCTCCATGCTGAGGAGGAGGAGGATGGACCTCCATGCTGAGGAAGAGGAGGAGGATGGACCTCCATGCTGAGGAAGAGGAGGAGGATGGACACTGATGAAGAGGAGGATGGGCCTCCATGCTGAGGAAGAGGAGGAGGATGGACGCTGAGGAAGAGGAGGAGGATGGACCTCCATGCTGAGGAAGAGGAGGAGGATGGACCTCCAGGCTGAGGAAGAGGAGGAGGATGGACCTCCATGCTGAGGAAGAGGAGGAGGATGGACCTCCAGGCTGAGGAAGAGGAGGAGGATGGACGCTGAGGAAGAGGAGGATGGACCTCCATGCTGAGGAAGAGGAGGAGGATGGACGCTGAGGAAGAGGAGGAGGATGGACCTCCATGCTGAGGAAGAGGAGGAGGATGGACCTCCAGGCTGAGGAAGAGGAGGAGGATGGATGCGGAGGAAGAGGAGGAGGATGGACCTCCATGCTGAGGAAGAGGAGGATGGACCTCCATGCTGAGGAAGAGGAGGAGGATGGACCTCCAGGCTGAGGAAGAGGAGGAGGTTGGACCTCCATGCTGAGGAAGAGGAGGAGGATGGACCTCCATGCTGAGGAAGAGGAGGATGGACCTCCATGCTGAGGAAGAGGAGGAGGATGGATGCGGAGGAAGAGGAGGAGGTTGGACCTCCATGCTGAGGAAGAGGAGGAGGATGGACCTCCAGGCTGAGGAAGAGGAGGAGGATGGATGCGGAGGAAGAGGAGGAGGTTGGACCTCCATGCTGAGGAAGAGGAGGAGGATGGACCTCCATGCTGAGGAAGAGGAGGAGGATGGATGCGGAGGAAGAGGAGGAGGTTGGACCTCCATGCTGAGGAAGAGGAGGAGGATGGACCTCCATGCTGAGGAAGAGGAGGAGGATGGACCTCCATGCTGAGGAAGAGGAGGAGGATGGACCTCCAGGCTGAGGAAGAGGAGGAGGTTGGACCTCCATGCTGAGGAAGAGGAGGAGGATGGACCTCCAGGCTGAGGAAGAGGAGGAGGATGGATGCGGAGGAAGAGGAGGAGGTTGGACCTCCATGCTGAGGAAGAGGAGGAGGATGGACCTCCATGCTGAGGAAGAGGAGGAGGATGGACCTCCATGCTGAGGAAGAGGAGGATGGACCTCCATGCTGAGGAAGAGGAGGAGGATGGACCTCCAGGCTGAGGAAGAGGAGGAGGATGGATGCGGAGGAAGAGGAGGAGGTTGGACCTCCATGCTGAGGAAGAGGAGGAGGTTGGACCTCCATGCTGAGGAAGAGGAGGAGGATGGACCTCCAGGCTGAGGAAGAGGAGGAGGATGGATGCGGAGGAAGAGGAGGAGGATGGACCTCCATGCTGAGGAAGAGGAGGAGGTTGGACCTCCATGCTGAGGAAGAGGAGGAGGTTGGACCTCCATGCTGAGGAAGAGGAGGAGGTTGGACCTCCATGCTGAGGAAGAGGAGGAGGATGGACCTCCATGCTGAGGAAGAGGAGGATGGACCTCCATGCTGAGGAAGAGGAGGAGGATGGACCTCCATGCTGAGGAAGAGGAGGAGGATGGACCTCCATGCTGAGGAAGAGGAGGAGGATGGATGCTGAGGAAGAGGAGGATGGACCTCCATGCTGAGGAGGAGGAGGAGGATGGATGCTGAGGAAGAGGAGGATGGACCTCCATGCTGAGGAGGAGGAGGATGGATGCTGAGGAGGAGGAGGATGGACCTCCAGGCTGAGGAAGAGGAGGAGGATGGACGCTGAGGAAGAGGAGGATGGACCTCCATGCTGAGGAAGAGGAGGATGGACCTCCAGGCTGAGGAAGAGGAGGAGGTTGGACCTCCAGGCTGAGGAAGAGGAGGAGGATGGACCTCCAGGCTGAGGAAGAGGAGGAGGATGGATGCGGAGGAAGAGGAGGAGGTTGGACCTCCATGCTGAGGAAGAGGAGGAGGATGGACCTCCATGCTGAGGAAGAGGAGGATGGACCTCCATGCTGAGGAAGAGGAGGAGGATGGACCTCCAGGCTGAGGAAGAGGAGGAGGATGGATGCGGAGGAAGAGGAGGAGGTTGGACCTCCATGCTGAGGAAGAGGAGGAGGATGGACCTCCATGCTGAGGAAGAGGAGGAGGATGGATGCGGAGGAAGAGGAGGAGGTTGGACCTCCATGCTGAGGAAGAGGAGGAGGATGGACCTCCAGGCTGAGGAAGAGGAGGAGGATGGATGCGGAGGAAGAGGAGGAGGTTGGACCTCCATGCTGAGGAAGAGGAGGAGGTTGGACCTCCAGGCTGAGGAAGAGGAGGAGGATGGATGCGGAGGAAGAGGAGGAGGATGGACCTCCATGCTGAGGAAGAGGAGGAGGATGGACCTCCAGGCTGAGGAAGAGGAGGAGGATGGATGCTGAGGAAGAGGAGGATGGACCTCCATGCTGAGGAGGAGGAGGAGGATGGATGCTGAGGAAGAGGAGGATGGACCTCCATGCTGAGGAAGAGGAGGATGGACCTCCATGCTGAGGAAGAGGAGGGGGATGGATGCTGAGGAAGAGGAGGATGGACCTCCATGCTGAGGAGGAGGAGGATGGACCTCCATGCTGAGGAAGAGGAGGAGGATGGATGCTGAGGAAGAGGAGGATGGACCTCCATGCTGAGGAGGAGGAGGATGGACCTCCATGCTGAGGAAGAGGAGGAGGATGGACCTCCATGCTGAGGAAGAGGAGGAGGATGGACCTCCATGCTGAGGAAGAGGAGGAGGATGGACGCTGAGGAAGAGGAGGATGGACCTCCAGGCTGAGGAGGAGGAGGATGGACCTCCAGGCTGAGGAAGAGGAGGAGGATGGACCTCCATGCTGAGGAGGAGGAGGATGGACCTCCATGCTGAGGAAGAGGAGGAGGATGGACCTCCATGCTGAGGAAGAGGAGGAGGATGGACGCTGAGGAAGAGGAGGAGGATGGACCTCCATGCTGAGGAGGAGGAGGATGGACCTCCAGGCTGAGGAAGAGGAGGAGGATGGACCTCCATGCTGAGGAGGAGGAGGATGGACCTCCAGGCTGAGGAAGAGGAGGAGGATGGACGCTGAGGAAGAGGAGGATGGACCTCCATGCTGAGGAAGAGGAGGATGGACCTCCATGCTGAGGAAGAGGAGGAGGATGGACCTCCAGGCTGAGGAAGAGGAGGAGGATGGACGCTGAGGAAGAGGAGGATGGACCTCCAGGCTGAGGAAGAGGAGGAGGATGGACGCTGAGGAAGAGGAGGATGGACCTCCATGCTGAGGAAGAGGAGGATGGACCTCCAGGCTGAGGAAGAGGAGGAGGTTGGACGTCCAGGCTGAGGAAGAGGAGGAGGATGGACCTCCAGGCTGAGGAAGAGGAGGAGGATGGATGCGGAGGAAGAGGAGGAGGTTGGACCTCCATGCTGAGGAAGAGGAGGAGGATGGACCTCCATGCTGAGGAAGAGGAGGAGGATGGACCTCCATGCTGAGGAAGAGGAGGATGGACCTCCATGCTGAGGAAGAGGAGGAGGATGGACCTCCAGGCTGAGGAAGAGGAGGAGGATGGATGCGGAGGAAGAGGAGGAGGTTGGACCTCCATGCTGAGGAAGAGGAGGAGGATGGACCTCCATGCTGAGGAAGAGGAGGAGGATGGATGCGGAGGAAGAGGAGGAGGTTGGACCTCCATGCTGAGGAAGAGGAGGAGGATGGACCTCCAGGCTGAGGAAGAGGAGGAGGATGGACGCTGAGGAAGAGGAGGAGGTTGGACCTCCAGGCTGAGGAAGAGGAGGAGGATGGATGCTGAGGAGGAGGAGGATGGACCTCCATGCTGAGGAGGAGGAGGATGGACCTCCAGGCTGAGGAAGAGGAGGAGGATGGACGCTGAGGAAGAGGAGGATGGACCTCCAGGCTGAGGAAGAGGAGGAGGACCAACAGAACAGGCTCCTGGAAGCAGTGGAACCATCTTGAGACCAGCTGGATGAAGGTCTGATTGCCTCTGATTTCAGCCTGGTTGATGGTTGCCCTGGTTACCATGTCATTGATAAAAATCTGGAATGAGTTTAAATGATCTTGAGGCTAATTTAGGGCAGAGATGCAGATCTAACAGTTATTTATTTATAGTAAATAATAAAT